GTGAAAATTCAATGTGGTGTTTCCAAATATTATTATATTGAGATTTAAGATTTTTCATTTTTTTAGATAGTCAATTTCTTAAAATAGTTAAAATTCATATATGCTTGTTTTCAAAAACATCGATAAATTCATAGAAATCGTCGATGAAGATTTTTGAACAATTTTGTTCTATTTATAATTTAATTTAATATATTATAATATCTAATATTTCTTTTAATAACACTTTTAATATGTTTTTTTCAACTATATGGTAGAATTAAATTGCACCTGACAAAATAATTTCAATTCTTTTAAATTTTAATTTAACGAAATCTAGAAACTTTATTGTTTTCTTATTTATGGTACAAAGTACAACGATTCATTAAAATAATTTAAAGCAATTTACAACAATAGCTTTTTCGAGCAAAATGGTCAATGTAATGTGTATTCATCTAAATGTATTTTAAAATTAATGAATATTCTTGTATAGAAGTATAAGGCTATTCCCATAGCCTCATTTGTTTCACAAACACAATCGTAAACAACTCGACCATATTCTAACTGATATCTTTCAACAAGTTTTTTAATAATTAAAAGAAAACTTAACCATTTCAACATCCATATTTACTTTGACATATATATTACATTGTAGCCACTTTTCTTACATTAGAAATGGTATTCGTATTATATATATGATTCCGGGGCAGAGTCATGATGGCAATGCTACTACAATATATTGGAGAAAATATCTGTGTTAATGTTAATACTTTTCACCGTAAATAACATCTGTCATAACCAATGCTTTGAAAGGTATTGTTGCATTTGTGTTCATTATTATGATGCCCTATTGTGCGTAATCTCGAAGAATTGCCGCAAAGTATTCGCCGGAGATCCCAACAAGTGCAAATGCAGTGTCGGAACGCGATTTTATATGCATTATAAAAATGTTCGGTCGGGCTTAACATGAAATAATAAAGGAGCAGTTGTGTAAGATTTTTTCATAAGAGACAGACCACCTCGGAATAGTTTCTGTGACAGACCTCTGCGGAATAGTTCAGTCAGTAGCGATTCCGACTCAAACGCCAGCGATCCTCGGATCCATCCTTGGCAACGACATAGAATTTCAAATGTTGAGTTAAAATTAAATAGAATTCGAATTGTTAATTTAAAATTGCATAGAAATAAAAGTAAAAAGTAGAATTTAAAACAGTTAAAATTAAATACTTGTATTCTTTAGTGGAATTTGAATAAAGTTAGAAGTAAGAAGAAGGGCAAACCTAGAATTGGAGAAGATCAGCAAGATTAGAATTAGAGAAGATCAGATTTAGAAGAAAAGATGAATAGAAAAATCAGTTAAAAATAGCAATACTTTTCCTCGGATACTCCTTTTTGAAACATGTGATATCAAAACATTCATTCAATATTCTTTTAATAATTATTTGTTTATTGACAAGATTTAGTCGTGGCGCATTTGTGATTATATTACAACCTAACTCTATATGAGCAAGATTTTTTTCCAAGCATCTAATTACTTATAAATATATTTTTTTACTTAAGCATCTAATTACTTATAGATATTTTCACTGTTTCGATACTTAATGTTTTTCATTTGATTCACAATTATACTGTAATGCATTTAATGAATTTGTTGTCTAGTTTAAATCTTTGAATTGTGGCGGGAATTCATTTCATCATAATATACTCGGGAATAGACATACTCGGTTCGAGTCCTGGCACTGACATAGAATTATTAATTTATTTATTGAATTGCAATTAGGTACTTATATTATATTAGCTACTTGTTGATTTGAGAAAGAATAGAATTAGAAGTCAGAAGAAGAAGCAAAGTTAGAAGAAAAGGAAGAATAAAGAAGACAGGTATAAAGAAAATTGGATAATTTAGGATATTATATAATATATTAAGAAAAAGCAAAAGTAGAAGAAAAAGAAGACTAAAGAAGATAGTTAAAAAGAAAATTGGATAATTTAGGATATAAAAAGATAGTATATAATATATTAAGAAAAAGCAAAGTTAGAAGAATAAAGAAGACAGTTATAAAGAAAATTGGATAATTTAGGATATAATAAGATAGTATACAATATATTAAGAAAAAGCAAAATTAGAAGAAAAAGAAGAATAAAGAAGACAGTTATAAAGGAAATTGGATAAATTAGGATATAAAAAGATAGTATATAATATATTAAGAAAAAGCAAAGTTAGAAGGAAAAGAAGAATAACGAAGACAGTTATAAAGGAAATTGTATAATTTAGGATATACAAAGATAGTATAGTATATTAAGAAAAAGCAAAGTTGGAAGAAAAAGAAGAATAAAGAAGACAGTTATAATGGAAATTGAATAATTTAGGATATACAAAGATAGTATATAATATATTAGGAAGAAGCAAAGTCAGAAAAAAAGAAGAATAAAGAAGACAGTTATAAAGAAAATTGAATAATTTAGGATATAAAAAGATAGTATATAATATATATAAAAAATAATGTAAGTATGGCTAAATGTTCCAAGCCAATAAAAAAATCTTTGAATTGCAAACAAATTTTGAAACATTTGCAAAATGTAGCAACTTTTTTCTTCAATATACAATGCTTGGTTTTCAACTTTTGATTAACTTACGTTTTCTCTTTTTTTGTCCAAATTTCGATTACTGAAAGTAAGTTTTTGATAATTTCGAATGCGCTTCTGTTGAATGGCAGATGCGTATATGTATCCATAATGTAGTACACAATATTTGTTCTTCGGCTGGCGACCTAGATGCTCGCCTATTTGCTTCGATGATTCCGGCAACAACAAAAAATGGAAAACGAGAAACATAATACATGTAGAAAAGTTTGTTTTACTCGCGACTTTTATTTTATTCGCAAAAATAGAAAAATTTGCGACAATGCTAAAACCGTTTTGTGCCAGCGAAATGAGAATGCAGAACTTTTATGTAAGTTGTAAAATAACTACGTGTTGGAGTGTGGATAGTATGAATATATGAGATTTACTTTATCTTATAAATATGAGGGAAAATTTAATAATATAACGTTAGTTTTTAAGCAAAGACAACTAATTAGAAGTGTCTCTTTGAATCAAATCTGAAAAATGGTATTATAAGACTATTAAATCTAAATTTATTTGCCTGGTTTATAATTCATCAATTTTATCGAGAAAAGTGCATCTTAATATTATCGTCAGCAATTCAAAAATCAATACTAAAAGTATATCATGTATATTGAGTATTCCATGATGTCAGTAACAATGTAATAAAGCTGGTGAATAATATTATGCAAAATCATACTAAAAGTTTTATGTATAGGGTGTTCCACGGTGTAATGGTCAGTAATAATGTAATAAAAGTTGGTGAAGAATATTATGAAAAATTATGCTAAAAGTATTATAAATACCAGATGTTCCATGGTGTAATGGTCAAGCCCAACCTGACATCGTGCAGTAGTGATGTTCATTTTCACTTGAAAATATAGATCAAAAATATGTTTTCAATTCAAAATAGCCAAATAGGCAATGGGAAATCTCTCACACTATTCTTGTCTAATCGAGTTAGAGTTTAATACAGCTCACGGACTGATCTTGGCTAGTACTAGCCATTTTTGCTATCATAGTAAAAATGATGAATACGTGATAGATGTCATAAAACATCTAGGAAAAGTAGATAATATCTATTGAAGAAGCACAAATAATAATTTATATAATATTGAAGCATCAAAAATATCTATTAGGAAAACTTGGTTTGAAATCTTATGTAATAACATAAATAAGAAGGAATCTACAACGCATGTATAAAATAAAAACTTAACTACAAAATACGTCGAATTATAGAAAAAAATTGCAACTGTTGTAAAGATAAAAACTGAAAATGAAAACATAATTCGAAGCAGAAAAGAATAAAAAATAAGTGAATTCAGTAGTTATTGAGACAATGAAGATTGCCATTTTTCGAAGCTAAAATTAGAGTTAAGTCATCAATATTTGAGCCAAAAAAAAAATAATAATAATAAAAACGATAAAATGTTATTAAAAAAAATTACGTCAGCATAAAAAATGTATTTATGATATTACTATTTATTATAAAAAATTCAAGAAATTAATATGATTATCAAAAAGAAGAAAAAAGAGATGGAAAAGAAAGAGTGTACATGAAATATTACTTTAAATTGTACCAGTTTTTTTAATAATTTTTTACAAGTATTCTTTCTTGCAAATAAGAATTTTTATGACAAATCAAGCTCATTTGCAGAATCTGAAACTTTTTTCTGTGAATAGCAGAATTTCTTCTTCTTAACCGAAAAAAGAAAACGCGGATGTTGCAAACAAACAAAATTACTTTTGTTTTCTGACAAATGCACAATGGAACACATCTTTATTGTTATGAGGTCACTTTTCGGCATTATATAAAAATAAATCAAGTTAATCTGGATTCAACAATAAAATAATTTAAATATTGTTTGAAAGAGTGCAAGTTTTATTTGTCTCGACATGATGATGGCGAAATTGTGAACAATGATAAAATAAAATAATAAGTATATTTCGAATTAATATTTGCTAAAAGCAGTTCCAATGCATTTTCAATCTCTATATTAAATACCTCAATTTAAATATTTTTACTATTAAATATTTAAAAAAAATTTTTTATTAACTATTAGAAAAAATATTGATCTGGTAGCATTGGATAAATTTGCAATTTAATAATTATATATTTATCATTAAAATACTATGGTAATGCAATTGTGCTTAATTTTTGATAATGATATTAAATAATATTTAATAATAGAGATATATTCTCTACCACTTATTTAGTTTCATTGCTTACTTGAGTTACTTAATAATTAAATTGTAATTTTTATTTGTGATTCATGTTATCATTGGAATATAATTACAGTAATTATTTATGCTAATTTTAATAATTATTAATAATCACAATTTATTGTATATGAATAATTGTTAGATCGAATAATTTAGAATTGATCCTTTAATTAGTGAACATTAAATGACCATATACGATGATCATAGGTAAAAAGGAGTATTGAAAAAATAAAAAGGAGTGCGATTTATATGATCGTTTTATATTGAAGCATTATAAAATAAAAATCAATATGCATAATGTATATTTGGGCTTATATAGAATATAGAGTACCTCATTGATGCCCACAAGGCCTAGATTGCATTTAATTGGATTATTTTCATAATTTTTTAAAATAATTTCATCACTACGTTTAGAATTATACAAAATTAATAAAAAAATGCAACTTTATTCCAAAGTACTTATAAAAATACAAATGGTTTAATATTTTTAAAAACAATTTTTCAATGGTAAAACATATCACAATCTAGTTCTTTTTTAATCTTAACGATGTGTTGGAAATAAATAAGAATAAAAAATAAAGATAGATATTCTCTGCGTAATTTAATTAAGTTTTTTTGCAGTTTGTTAAATTATTAAAAAAAATATTAAAAATATAAGTAAATGTTGAAATTTGAACTAGAAATCAAATATTGTTTATAAATCATGATATATGATCAGTTATATCATTTTAAGACACAGATTCCAAATTAATGCATTATATATAAAATTGATAAAAATTAGTAAGAGATATGCTAAATGCCTATTCATGTTAGTATTCTAAATTATTATTTATTTATTTATTATATATTATTATACCAACTACCATTAATAATATTTAATAATACATAATTATACATTTGCATATAATTTGAAGAGCAAATATTTACTGAATAGCATTAGTTAAAGTTTAGTAACACAAAGTGTTAGTTACAGATTAATCTTGATATGAAGGTGTCTGAGAAGTTATAACTTAAATATTCCTCAATAGTTATAGTAATAACTGAAATTTCAGTTGAATAAATATAATAAAAAAATAAAATAATTTTCACTAATATTTTTTATTCTACAGCCTCCAGTCAACTGTTATCAAATGCGGGATACTGTAGTTTTCCAGGGGCGCCCGCCCACAGTACAGTGGCGTTCGCAAACACTTCGGCGTCACTGGCGGGGGCTTCACAATCTAGTTCCATGCCCCATGGTACTGTAGCGCAGTACCAGTGCGAAAGGGGGTTCGAATTATTGGGGCCGTCCAGGAGAGCCTGTCATAATGGACGATGGGTTCCTGAAGGAATACCTTTTTGTGGTGAGTTTTTAAAAAAATGTAATATGTGCCATATAAGCAGGACGAAAAAATCTGTAATGAATTTTGATGCTCATTCCTAAGGGAATGATGTGTTAGGTTTTTTATGATTAACTACTTGCTAAGAGTTTGAAGGTTTTTTGACACTGTTTGAGAGCAACATGGAACTAAATTATCATTTGAAGTATCTATTTATAGAATACATAAAATAATTCTTGCAATACTTTTGCATTCCTTACAAAAATCTATTAATTGTTCTATCGACAATAGAAATAATTATTTACACAATATAAACGTGCATTTAAAATATTTTTGTGAAAGAATTTTTGCAGAAATTGAAAATTTTTATTGAACATAAGCAAATTAATACTTTTGTATAAAATATACTTCCTTAATCGTTCGAAGTAGGGAGACTGGTTACGGTTGTACTAATTTTTTTTTGATCAGCCATAATTTTGTTATATAAACATATATTAATTAAATATATATATAAATTTTTATTTTTGTATAAAATATATTTCCTAAATTATGCGAAGTAGGGAGAATGGGTACGGTTGTGCCACTTTTTAGTCTACAGATTATGTTAATGTAGGGCGCTGACTCAATGCAATAATGGAAACTTGTTCGAACAAACTCACTTCATTTTTCATCCTTTGGACCCTATCTCAAAATCAGTATAGTTTAGCTATTATAATGGCTATAACAGTACCCAGTCTTCCCTACTCCTAATTTTGATCAATGATATTTTTATGCGATAGGTTGAATGAAATAAAATAAACTCTCCCATATGGGTAACCTCACAGCCGGTTTCGACTTTTACAGCACAATTTTATATTACCATAAATCTACTGATGAGCTAATTCACAGATTCAAATTCATCTCACTTTGTAACACTTTCTTTGAGGTACGATGTAGGCCGACTTATCCGGTTGATCACTGGTTAATGTTTAGAAATTTTAATGCGAATAATTAGGATGCAAATCGAGGAAAATAGACAGATAATTTATAATTTACACTTTGATAGGTATATATATATATATATATTAGGGTGGTCCTTAAAATGGTCATTTTTGAATTTCCTTGCTCCCAGGGGCTCAAATGGTTCCAAATAGATAAAAAACAATTCTCTGAAAGTTTTAGCTCTTAATATTAACGTTTAGATAGAGCGCAATTCAATCAAAGTTTTGTATGGAAATAGCATGGAAAATTTTTCAAAAATTTAAAAAATGTTTTTTAGATGTAATTTAGCGAACAAATGAATGAATAAAACTCATTCATTTGTCGCTAAGTTATACCTAAAACATTTTTTTCAAATTTTCAAAATTTTTTCCATGCTTTTTCCATACGAAGTTTGATTGAGTTGCGCTCTATCTAAACGTTAATATTAAGAGCTAAAACTTTCAGAGAATTGTTTTTTATCAATTTGGAACCATTTGAGCCCCTGGGAGCAAGGAAATTCGAAAATGACTATTTTAAGGACCACCCTAATATATATATATATATATATATATATATATATATATATATATATATAATTTTATATCAGGTTGGCAACTAAGAAAGTGCAGATTTTTGTTAGAAAAACAGACATTTTTTTCATTGAACTAAATAACTTTATTCTGAAATGCACTGTGAATTTTGATTAGTTACTAGCATAGATGAACAAAACTCAAAAACTATTTTGTACAAATAAGCCTAACCACTAGCCAACAAAATTTACTAGTTTTCATCCTTGAAGCAGAATTAATATCCCACTTTTATAAACTAGCAAAAACCTGAATGAGGTACAATTTGACACCATCGTCATTATTGATTTTTTTAAAATTCAAGGAGTTTTGTGAAGATCTAAGGCGTGTGTAAGGGCAGGACTATGTTGTGGATGTGGCAAAATATTCCAACCAAGTTCCAATAATTTTTGCCGAGTGGTTAAAATTATGAGATGCCAATAATGGAATAAATCACCATTAAGATTTGCCAATTCAGGCCGCGTTTTTAACTGCATTGTTCAATTTTGTTAGTTGACCTATAATATAGAGATCAGAGCTTATTATTTGGTTGGTCATGACAGTTCAATGCAGACAACTTCTCTTTAGTCAATTTGAACTGGACGACTAGAGCGTTTTTCATCTCTTAGTGAAAAATCACCAGAACGAAATCTGGCAAACCAACTTTGACACTGCTGTTTTTTAAGGTTTCATCATAATAAACATAATTTTTCTTGAGCTAAAGATGCCTTTTCACTTTTGTAGAAATTAAAAAGCAAAATATGGCAAAAGATTACAATTTGGTTTTCCATCTTTAAAATCTTTCCATCGATAAAAAACTCTTGTTTACAGATTAGTAGCTGAATTGCCTATTATCCAATAACAAAAGGTATTTTATATTTGGACTATGTCAGCAAACCTGCAAATTCAATTGAAACCACCTGAAAGTGATAGCCTGGCCTAGAATTTTTTTTAATTTAATTTGTTTTTTTTTGTATATTTAAAGTTTAACTATTCAAGAATATGTGTACAAGAGATATCTCTAAAAATTTAGATTATTTTCGTAGATATAGCTGTTTGAGCATGATAATGTTCCTCTGTTTCCTTACTTACTTAGTTGCCAACCCAATATATTAATATTTATGAAATATGGAATTTAAATTTTTGGTACAGAATATACCAAAACTCGAATTTTATATATTTTCTTAATAAATTTTGATTTGGCTCGAGGTTAGGTCTATTTGCACAAAATAGTCATTTAGTTTAGTTTATGATTAGGAAGAGTAGATATATGATTTTATATAAGGTTGAAGTTTTACTGGCTTTGAAAATTAGTATAATTGGACTAAATATAACTTTTTTGTGGATCACGAGTAATATATTTTTGTCAGAATAGTTAAATAATTATTCTGATTCTGATTACATAATCAAATTGGATAATTGTATTTGAAAATTAAATATTTGTTGTTTTTTGAGCAAAACATTCAGCCAGTATTTTTAAAGTATAACTATAGCATTAATTTGTTTAACTGTTTTTTTCTATTATACATATTATAAGAAAGCCGTAATTCGATCCGCAGCTTTTAAATGCAGATAAAACGGTGTAATTATGAAATCAAAGCACGCTACGCTGATTCCTTCGAGTTTGTCATCTCTTCTCTAATTTTTCAGTTTTTTGGGTTAACGCGTTTTACATTCTAACCATGGATTCTCTAATGAACACACCCACGAAGGCGACACGTTTGATCTTAACCTACGATATAGGAACAAAGTGTGCCAGAAAATTTTGTCTGCGCGAAAAAACATTTGTCCGCGTGATAATTTGGAGAAAGATTAGCTTGGAGCATTCTTAGAAACATTATATTCAAAGAAGAAGAATTATATGTTTCGAATAGTTTTTTTTTGTTAGTAATACACATCTATTGGACTTTTATCGAAGTTTTAAATCATTCCTCAGTAGAAATTTTGGTTTTTCTAATGGTTAATGAAGTATTCTGGTCTAGAATTTTTTAAAATTTAATTTGTTTTTTTTTTTAAAAAATATTTTAAGTTTTAACTATCCGAGAATATGTGTACGAGAGGATTTTTCACAACTATATCTCCAAAAATTTAAAATATTTTCGTAGATATAGCTGTTTGAGCATGATAATGTTCCTCTGTTTTCTTCCTCCCACCCATGATTTCTCAACTTCTACTGGACCGATTCATTTGAAATTTTACAGCATCCTTTTTTAGAGCTCTCTTTAGTATGAACTAAGCTCATCCTCAAATTCCGCTTTTTTTAAAAAAAAGAGAATTTCAAAAAAGGTTGTAAAAGATATATTTTCTTCATACAGTCGATATTTTGTGAAAAAACATTATTTTGACTTGTTCATATTTCATACGATAGCGACATTATTTTAGATTAGTTATCAGGGCGGGTCGATTTAAAGGTCATTTAGGCACATATGATTTTAGGATTCTGGGAATCAAAATAAGATACTTTGCTGAAGAAACCATACCTCTAAAATGAATTCTGATTTCTTGTGCATTGACCCAAAGATGAGGGTTAAATTTTGAAAAACCTCTCGTTGGGGGTTCCAGGGGGTGAATCACGGGCATGGGTGGATTGGCCTTCCACAGCTGGTGGGGGTCGGTCATACATTTGAACGCGATTGGGGCACTCTAAATGGGTAAAACAGAATTTTTAAATTTTAACCCTTATCTTTGGGTGAATACACGAGACATCATATTCATTGATCCTTAGTGTCCAAAAATCATATGTGCTTGAGCGACTATATTTGACCCATACAAATTGACTCGCTTTATTAGTTAAATATAAATATTTTTTTTTTAAATTCTTTGGAAGGCTAAAATCATGGGTAGCAAATCACGGGTCAAGTGCAAATTGTTTGAGATCCTTCACATCATCACCCGGAGTTAAAACTTTGACTATTTTTAATTTTAGTTATTTTTTCATATTCTTAAAACATAAATTAATAACGTGTGAAAAAAAGTAAAAACACTTCCTTTCATAAATTGCTTAAAATTTATGCCTTCAGGCCAAGAATACACCTTTGAGTTTAAAGTTTTTAAGAGTATCTCTAATCAATGGTTAACCACGACAATTATATTTTAGGACATGACAAATTTTAATTTAAGGAGCGAGAGTAACGATGTAGTTCTAATTTCTTTCTGGTAAATCAAGATTTTAAAAATGTTTAGCAAATTTTAATAAGCTTCAGCCAAGTTTTAATGAATATTTGTCAGAAGACTCTATAAGAGTCAGAAGAGTATTTTCCTTCTGTGTTACGGTAGCATATTTACAAAAATTGAAAATTGGTGGTTTTCAAGCATATATATATATATATATATATATATATATATATATATACATTGTATCCAATACATGCAACTTTTATAATCTATTTATGTGTATTTGTATTCCCGATGTGTGTTTAGTTCCAATCACAAAGGTGTCAATGTCACCGCGATGACCGTGACCGAGTCACGGACCGAAATTATGTCTTCCGGCTACCA